AAACTTTTCGAAAAAAAAGTTTCCCATATGGTGCGCACTTTAATGGTGACACTGTATATAACCGTCATTTTAAACATTGAAATAGGTGCAGTAAGCTTTCATTAAAACATAGGCAAAAAGTCGTAGACTTTTTTGTTGACTCATGAAAAAACGATATTTAGTGAATTATTTTGTTGTATCTCAAAGTGATAGAGGTACATGTATCGAAAATAACATCGTCATTTTTCAACCAATTCATACAAAACATGCATACAAACATGAGTGAAAACCGTATGGAAGTCCATTTGGTAGTTTTGGATTTTGTCAGGCAGACAAAATGCAGAAGAGGCTTTGTAATTCATTAGATCCACCGAGAAGATATCCTGAAATCGCCTTATAGAGTAGGATATTCACATATGATATATGTGAATATCCTATACGATATATGTGAGAAGGAAATAATAACAATAACCAGGTAAGAGAAAGGTTTAGTAAATTAAATGGATACTATGATTATGAGTTTTGGCAAAAAAATTATCGCAATGATCCTGAGAAATATTATTTTATAACTAGTTTCAGCAGAAGTTAACTACATAATAATAATTTCGAACACAGTGTCATTTGAGGAGGTAGATAACACTAACAAAACACGGTATGTTCAATTGAAGAAACAACATTTTCATTTACGTGGTTATTCAAAAGTTCTCTGAAAAAANTGCTACAACTGAAATTTTTTGAAATTTTGAAGATTTTGGCTGTCTGGTGGACGCAGAAAGAGTAGTAATCCAAAATAAGTATTGCTCACAAACACCAGAAAACTTTAGTCTACTTCATCTTTTGAAGGCGTCAACTTGCTTGGTGAAATGAATTTTTTTGCAGTTCAGGTGTTCGGAAACAATGCTTTTTTTGGATTCATTTCATGTCCGAGTTTTCAGTTCTACCTTCCATCAAGTCTGGCGATAATAAATGTTGGTGCTATAACGTATTTAACTGAAGTTTTCATGTACAGGTAATACCTGGGTTTCTGTCCTTCCTTCACATCAAAAATGACCAAATTGTTATATTCCGAGTACAATGCCGTATATTAATAGCTGTAATCTGACGATGAAATATACGAATAGACACTTATTCTGGAAATTCTTATTCTGAGATGAAGAATTGTGAGTTCTAATAGAATACTTTTTTTATTGGCATCATCAGGAGATGTTCTTGTGATCTCAGGTTGAAGCGAACCCTGAACTCAACAGAGTGTTCCCAGTGTCATTGTCTATCGGGTTTGAAAACCGTGTATTTTTGGAAATTCTTCCTGACGTTCCACTGACGCGGATGGCTAGCTTCCTCAGCTAGCCATCCTGGGTTGATATATCTGATGACTGGTTATTGCAGCTGCGTATCGCGTAACTATGTTGACTCCACAGGTGTTTGGTGTGCTAATACCTGTACCTGGCTGAGAAAAATTACCTGAAGCATGCTTATGTTGATTCAGGTAGTCTGGTATAATAATACCTATACCTAGATTTGGTAAATTGTCAATCAAATTCGTTGACCCTTTTCTACCTGTCATCATGCTGTTTGCTATACTTGCTCTTCTCAGAATGGTATCCCATATTCGATTGAAATTCACAGCTTATTCTCTCCTGTATCACTCGGCTTCGGCATCCCTGGTCGGGAGCAATGAGTTCTGTGTTTTCAAACAGAATCCTGTGGTTTCCTTCACTGAGTACGTACTCCGCCGCAGCTGACTTGTCCGTTTGGTCTAGTCTGTAGTTTCTTTCATTCTCCTTCAGCCTTGTTTCCATAGATCTTTTGATGATTCCGATATATAACTTCCTACAAGTATGCCATAAACTCCTCTGCTGCTGATAGTGAGTCCCTTTCGTCTTTAGCCAACCTGAGGTTTTTTGTATCTTCTTGGTGGATTTGAAAACAGTTTCAATGTCGTGTTTCCCCAAATTCAGGTACAATTATTATCACACCAGACTACTTGAATCAACATAAACACGCTTTACGTAATTTACCTGTGCCAGGTACAGGTATAAACACCAAAGTACCTGAGGAGTCAACATGAATACGCATTACGCAGCCGTAATATTAGTACGGGAAAACGTTGGGAAAACAAAATTTTTAGAACAGTTGGTTTTTTGATATGCTGTCATTCTTGCTCTTTCGGTTAGAATCCGGGCTACCTGGCTAGCGGTAGTGATTGCGTTTATCTATAAAATCATTTCTCTATATTTGTTTGGCTGAAATTCTCCCAAATATGGGAAACATATTCCCATTGCGCCAGTTATACTGGAAAAGTACATAAATTTTAAAGTAAAGAATAAACGAATCACATTTCATTTAGAAAATTCAAATTATCAAATCAAGTGTATATCACGAAAAAACTATTTTATAAAGTACTTAATATAACCGAGGAAATTACGTCTATGTAAATTTTGTTTTGCCATTTTATATAAGTGTTCATGTTGTTCATTGATTCAATTCCATTTCCATTAAATTTTTGTGAGTAGATATCTATATTTTACATTTTCATATACTAACCAACACATATTTCACAGAAAGTCTTGACATATGATATGATCAAGTTCAGGTGAAAACATCTCACCTTCGCCTCTCATGTGAACCTACGANGCAGATCCCCAATGAAAAAACAACAACTTACCCAGCTAATTTCGCGCAGAATACTGAAAGTGAAACCATCGGGTACCTGTGCAAAAGTGTTAACGAGTGTATCTGATATAAATCACAAAAAGAGGTGAATTAGCTAACTTAACTCTCAAAAACTGTGCAAAACTGCGGACACGTGTTTTTACTGGTCAGATGCAGCGATGCCGCCAAGTTTAAGGATGGGCAACATTTATTTGCCGAAAACTACACATATGCACGGAGTCACCAAAAGGAGCCAACCGCACATTTGTGGTTCCAGTTAGGAGACCGGTCATGTATAGGCAACAATCACGTGACCGCACGTGTCCGCGGTTTTGCCCCATTTTTGAGTATTATGCTCGCTAATTCACTTATTTTTTTGTTTTATATCAGATCCCCTCGTTAACACTTTTCTGTGTATTTATAATATTTATATTTTGGACCCGGATGGCACGCGTGGTCAGGTTGGTTGTTGCCTAACTGTGCGGTTGGCTCCTGTTGGTGACTCCGTTCATATGTGTAGTTTTCGGCAAACAAGTGTTGCCCATCCTTACACTTGCCTGCACCGCGCTGACAAAATCAATAGCCAAAAACGCGTCTCCGCGGTTCTGCTCTATTTTTCCATTCAGTTTTTTCGAAAGTAAAAGGTAGTTTTCACATGATTAGTCATGAAAAATTCAACAAAAACGTTCAATTTTGAAAATGTTCCTTTACTCTTGTACTTCACTGTCTGTCTCTAGTACACTACTGCATAACGTGATGTAGATGATCTTTCAGTCAAATACCTGGGTAGGAATACAATTTGTTTATTCTGACGAACCAGAGAAGATTTTATTAATAATGTACAGTAATGACACTTCGTAAATCCATACGTTTTTCAGTCATCTGTCGTTCAAAATGTAATCATATTTCAGAGTCTCCTCCAATATGCTGATAATCATCTTTCTTAAGTCTCGGCTCGGCACACATTTCCGTTTGATTTTACCTTCGTATAAAAGGGTTATGGAAACGTCAATTCCGTTCAATCTATCTATCTCTATATTTCAGTGCTGTGAACTATTCTCACTCTATATGGACATATACTCTTTAAGGTGTATTTCACTCAGCGATGAAGTTTCTGATCTCAATAATTTCATATGCGATATCATTCATACCAGAAACTATTTTTTCATGAATGGAAAATACATGAAACGAAAAATATATACATTTCATACTCACGCGAATCCATTCAAGAATCGCATCAACATAAACAGCCAGTACACCTGTGAAATACTTGAAAGTAATCCACATATACCATCCATAAGAAGGGCAGCAATCAGTACAACTTTTCGTCCCCTAGTGTCAGCCAGGCATCCCCAAAAATATGAGCCAATGACCATTCCTGAAACATAAGAACACAATTCATAATCATTTGATGATATCACGAACAATTGGACAATATTACACGTATTCATATTTTGATTTTAAATTTTCAGCAAATGATCTTACTTTTTTCATGTATCAAGTTTACACAAAATAGAATATTGTCATTTCTTCAAGCAACTGGATATTGACAAGAGATAGAAATGGCTAAAAAGCAAGAATATACTTGAGAAGATGTAGGAGAAAAAATTTGGAACAAAAATGACTGCAAAAGTTTCCAACATTAACTGGTACATAAAGACTATTCAGGTGAGCAACTTCATTCATCATAATCCAGAGGAAAAAACAACAAAACTGGAATTCAAGCCCTCCAAGAATTACTTCAGTAGTTTTGTCTAGTTTCTTTTCAAAATGTCAACACAGCAACTATTTTGTCTATAATCAATGGCTGCAGCGTGACGTCATAGATGTAAATTTCATGACACAACTTTATAAAGGTAAGGAAAAAGATGAAATGGGTTTGGTATTCGAGAAAAAATTCACAGAGTTGAATCACACGTTAAAAGGTAAGACCTCGTTAGTCCTTAGCTCGCACAAACTTCTCAACTTCTGTCTGAGAGTTGTCGTTCGTATGGGGGTGACAGCTGATTAACGGAAAAACAGATTTCAAACAGATCTTTTAAATCTCAGTAAAAAGTGGTATATTTCAAACTTTACCATTGAAAGATACTATGCTGTTCATTTTTTTGTGCCAGTAAAAAATGAAAGTTTCAAAGCTGATCTGTGTCTTTGTGAGATAATAACTACTCGCTCCCTTTCTAAACTCCAACATGGAAGTACACTTCCATGTTAAAGTTTAGAAAATACCACTTCCAATCAATATCTTCCATCACTGCATCAAGTTATTTGACAATATTTCTATTGACGGTTTCTATTAACGCCATATTTATTGTGGTGAAAATGACATCTACCTATATTCATATTAATTTGAAGTGTGCGCTTGTTTTTCGTTAATCAATTTCTCTCATCGCAGAATCGATTTCAGATTTAGGATCGAATCGTTTTTCAAATTCAGTCGATTTCTCTGTTCGCTCTTCAGTGTTTCTCAAAGTGTGCGCCGCGGCGTCCTGGGGCGCCGTGGAACCTTTACTGGGGCGCCGTGGGCCACGGGTGAGTCTCAAAGTACAACGTTTCACAACATAGATAACTGAAAGTAAATGTAATACGTCGGTACCTATTAATAAAAATCCTCTGATAATATGATAATATCGGTAATTGCAAAATGCAATCCGTTCAGACAGCTACCTACCTAATTTTATTAATTAAATATCTAGTGTAGTCTTTACGTTCGGGGCGCCGCGATAACCTTCAAAAAACATAAGGGAGCCGTGAATTGGAATAGTTTGAGAAACACTGATTTAGGCCATTGACATGAGTACCAATTAGCATATAATATGAAATATCACTGGAGTTTTCTTTCCCAACCCCAAACCGTTATTTTGACACCTCGACACGTGTTTCGATCACCAAGTGATCATCTTCAAGAGGTTTAATCTTCCTCTTGAAGGGAAAGAATATCGTTTGGAAATCGATGTCGAAGCTTAGCCTTGCAACAAACCATCATTGCGAGAGTACATAGGTTTCGTCCTCATGAGAAGACCTCCATCCCCTTCTCTTCATCATCATATATTATATACTAAATAGTAATGTAATGAAAGATGTGCCTGTACCGAAAACATAGCTTGAAGTGTATTAATTGCTGACAACTATTTAAATTAACATTCGAAAACTAGTTGGTCTGGCCAACCCAGCTCTGCCTTATGTATTATTTATATAGTGTATCAAACTTGATGTCAAATAAAAAAATACAAACACATTTTTCATCAAAGAAACCTGTATAGGAACATATATAGGCATGACATATATTACACGACCTACTCTCATACCTAGCAAATATATTTACACAAAAATATCATATAAATCGGTCGAATCGGACCACAAACACCGTGACACGAGATTTTCATATATCGGATGGAATTGATGCTAAAAAAGATATTATTTCATTTTTATCATTCCATATAATCTTATTTTAATACGTCATAGTCGTGATTGAAATCATGCTCCTATGGATTAAAATTGTTTGCAAATGAGGAATTGATCTTCACATTGAAAAAACTACTCCTATGGTCTTTCGTTCTTTAGCAAAAAGTGTTGCCCGTTTGGCCAACATAAAGTTTCGGGCAAGAAGCACAAGTCAACTTTTATACTCCTGACACCGAAGTTTTGTCTTCGTTATATTCAATAAATTTTCTTTAATCAATATTTGTTCCGTAAGCCACGTCCGAATCTTCATTTTTCAAAAATCGAGCGATATTATTGGTGGGCATACCAAAGTATATCAATATCCTATGACATTTATTTTCGTTTCTGGTGAATGGCTGGTTACTGAGTGATCAAATCTGTTTCTGTTTAAAATCTGTTTTTCCGTTAATCAGGTGTCGCCTCCATACGAACAACTCGCAGAAGTTGAGAAACTTGTGCGAGCTAAGAACTAACGAGGTCTTACCTTTTAACGTGTGATTTCTAACACGGAATTCTTCCCCAAGGTTTAAGCTGTTATGTAATGTGGAAATTGTTAATTGGTTTATTACATGTCGTTGAAATGATCTGGTTGAATTTATTTTGTAATGTTTACATTTTTGATTAGTTTATACCTGGGTCCAGGTAAAATCATAAGTTATCAAGTATGTAAAACGTCATATGATTCAAATTGTTATACAGTGTCACCATTAAAGTGCGCACCATATGGGAAACCTTTTTTCAAAAAGTTTTTTTCAAGTTTAACTTCGGCACATGTTTGTGCTTTAAATTTAACTCAAAATGATCTTTTTTTTAATTGAAAAAGTGCATTTCTAGATAGAATTTAACAAAAAGTTACTTGAAAAAGTTGTGTCTACGGCTATTTTATATCCATATGCCAAATTTTATGCAACTAGGATGAAGTTAACGTTTTGCTTACTTTTGACAGATATCCCCTTTATTTTAAAAAACAAGTTCGGTTAATTATCATCAATTCATGTATACATAACAAACTCATAATGGAGTTTAACTTTTCTGATACATTTTTACTTATACGGACATTTTTAGAGAGAAATTAAAAATTTGCTATACAAATTATAACATGACTGGTGCAAAGTTTCAAAAAAAAGTTAAATTTGACAAACACTGAACGTCAGTGGGTCGCAGTTGGCCGCATCATTTTGAGTTAAATTTAAAGCACAAACAAGTGTCGATGTTAAACTTCATTGAAACTTTTCGAAAAAAAGTTTCCCATATGGTGCGCACTTTAATGGTGATACTGTATAAAGCACTAGTTATGTCGAATTCAGTGAATATAAACACGCCTGAAATAACTTTTGTATATCAAAAAATGTGTTACGGTTTTGTAAACTGTTCACTAGAATTTTCACAATATCTGAACGTTTATTATGGTTCTCTGGGTCCTCAGTACAGATATTCTGATAATAGTTATTCATCAACAAATACTTTCTCGGTGTAAATAATAAAATGTTCTTTTCTACTTACCTAAGAAGAATTTTGCACCCAGCCTATGTACACAAAGTGGTAACCAGAAACTAGTTGGAATGCAGGCTAATCCAATGATGAGCGTATGGAGAAAAACAGAGTCAGCAATAGGTTCCCCACAAAATTCTGTCTGCTGCAAACTTGTGTTGTACGGTACCACCACTGAAGAAACTTCGCAAATAGAAGCACTTTCGTTGGGATGCAAATTTTCAAACTCCTCGAAGCGATAGAAAAGCTCAGGAAACCATATCATCAAGGTGTAGTAACTAAAAACAGAGATTTATGAAAATAACGCTCATGAAATAAGGTACTTAGGTTAATGCTGAGATTTTTTCAATGAGGAAAAAATTAATTTTTCATGATTGAATATAGCCCACCCTGTATCAAGAGCGGATTCAGATCTAAATATCGAGGGATATAATTTCAGGAGGAAGAATCTATAAATGAATATGCGTATGTGAGTGTATATTATTAAAATACCGATATAAAATATTCCTAACAAATACTGATGTTCCCAATTCCCAGAACCGCAACAATTTTCGACGCGCGGTTCATCAACCAAATTGGCGTCACCAAGTGATGAAGTAAACTAATTGCTTAGTCTAAAACTGGTCTTTATCTAACAGGATACACTGCCACATCGAAAATTTTGGGTAGGAAAGGAAAGAGAGGAAGATTTGGAAATAATTGAATGAGAAGGCAGACAAAGGCAATACAGTTATGATATTGGATAAGTGACATTACTATGAGAGAATTGATGATTCAATTGAGAACATATGACCAAGAAATCCATTGCCTGAAATGGTGTAAGAAATGGAAAACATATCGAGAAGCATAAAAATTGATCGCACCGACTATAAAAGGCTACAGGTTTCTAATCATAGAGTTCCTAAAATATACCAAAAATCAACAAGTCTGTCAAGTCGGTGCGACCAATTATCTCCGCCAAAAGTCTGCCTACTTATAAAATTACTGATTGGCTAACCAAAAGCTCTCTCAATCTCACAATTGAGTTCAAGTATGAATTCATAGATTATATTAAGGATGTGGTGTTGCGAAGTGGAGAGATATACCCTTGTTGTTTCCAAGAGTCCTGATATCAAAAACCATTTCAATATTTGAGGGATCTTCAGAGGGTCAATGGTTTCAGTGAAGAAGTAATCAAAGACGACACTAAATTTGCAACGATCCAAATTGCTTTCAGTTCAACAACTGTTTCTACAGAGACCACAAAGGCACGGCAAATTGAAAACAATAAAGGAGTTATCATTCTTGGATATCTTGGTGATTAGAAGTAACCAGGATCTAAAATTTTATGTCTATAGGACATCACAAAATGACAGGACTAAACTTTCTTGTCCATAGGATTGTTACGTCTCCTTTAAGTAAAGAACATACTCTCTGTGCAGATCCTTCGATACCGTTTTTATAATGAGAACTGTCTTGCCTCTCAAAATAGCCATCAACTGCCGACATCACTCCTTCGTTGAAAAATCTTTGACCACAGAGCCATCTTTTCAAGTTTAGGAACAGAATATAATCCAAGAGGGCTAAATCTGGAGAAAAGGGTACATGAGGTAGCAATTCAAACTTCAATTCATTAATTTTGGTTACTGCGATAATGGATAAGTTCTCACAAAACTCGCCGTTGATAGTCATACCTTTTTTCAATGAACATTATCCCACGTGCATCCCAAAAAATCCGATGCCATGACTTTGCCTGCAGATGGAACGATCTTCGCCTTTTTGAAAGCCGGGTTCTCATGTCGAGTCCACTGTTTTGATTGTTCTTTTGTCTCGGGTGTAAAGTGATGGACCCAAGTTTCATCCATGGTTATGATACGACGCAAGAATTCTGCTTTGTTGCTGTTAAACTTCGTTAAATACTCAGTTGAAACATCTTCACGACACTGTTTTTGCTCGAGTGTGAGCAAACGCGGCACACAGCTGTGCCATGTTCAAATTTTCAGATAATATATGATGTACCCCAATTTTTCAGATGCCTACTGAGTCTGCTTGATCACGCACTTTCAGTCGACGATCATTCAATTCCGACTACTGCAATGCTCATCTTGGCAGCTCGTACGACCTCATTTAAACTCTACTATCCAATATTTTACTGTTGTATACAAAGGTTGGTTGGGCCAAGGCCTTTCAAATAAAAGTATCGTACCACGTAACGATGACTAATTTTCTCCATTTTCACAAATTCACCGAAAACGTTTGTTATTGATGGCTCTCAAACAAATACTAAACAACGCAGCGTCTTCAAACTTGAAACAAATGTTTTATAGAGTCGAGAAGAGTGTTACAGTTCAGTGCTTGTTTTGGATTTATTTCACGCCAGAGTTTCCAGTTCTAGATATGATCGAACAGACCAATATCCGTGATGAAAATCCATTATAACCTATTCAAAAAACACACTTTGATGTGAGATTTCCACTTGAAAGATTCCAAAACCGCGACTCGTGTTTCCCTATATAATAGCATATCCGGGCGTCACAATACTGTTGTACGAGTATTGTATACGGGTGTCACAGTACCATTGTACTGTGACGCCCGAAGATGTTATTGTATAGCGAAACACGTGTCGCGGTTTCGTAAACTTTCATGTGGAAATCTCACATTGGAGTGTGTTTTTTGAATACGTTGAATGTTGATGTGGAGAAGGCGATAATTAATCCCATAAATCCCCCATTGGCCTGTACCAGTAATAAATGAAACTTGTGAGTGCCAGTAGTGCGAAATATCAGTTAATGAAGTTTGTCATTTATGATATTTCATTCAGTATCATTTCTTATATTTCCTCATGAAACTTACTGACATTTTTTTATATTTCCTCATGTAACTTACCTTGTCGTCAATCCAAATTGTATCATACAAGTTATAACGGTGTATCTGAGATGAGGGGGACTACATAACGCCTTTGTTTGTTCCCAAATTTCTCGTAATAACAACTTAAGTTCCTTTGGTTTTCGGATCCTCAAACTACGAACACTTCGTGTAGATTGTTGGGAAACCACGCTCATTGTACGTATTTTTTCTCTCAAGCTAGTGACCTACAAAATGTATATATATATTAACAAATATTGAACCGACATATCCGATTTCTATTTGTTCCTTCCATATTTTTGTGAAAAAATGATTTTCAAAAATTTGTTGAAGTCAGAAGGTTGAAAATGTATACGACATAGAAAAAAAATTTCACTCTAATTGGTCTTAATGAAAATACATTTTTGGCGAAATTGCAATTTTTATCAAATACATGATATAGAACTGACCGATATTTGATGAAAATCCATCATAGAGTATACAAAAAATCACTTTTCAATGTCAAGGGGAAATCTCATATTGGTGTTTTTTCAATGCGCTTAATCAGATAGGTCTATAATCAAATTATTTGATTGTTATCTTTTAAATGAATATGATATGCAAAAAAACAGATTGCTTCGCTTGAAATTCGTCTTCAGTTTTTCTGCTTAGTCAAACTGTTCAGTTATCTTTCAAAACAACACGTGAAAGTTTTTATGAGATCATATTACAGAATTGTCGATCCAGCAATCAATGCATTTGAAGTAAAATTGGCCACTTCTTCAAATAGAACACAATTAGTCCAGTAATTTTGTCGCCTGGAAGAGTAGAAAGAGATTGTTCTGTTCAAATTATGTGATCGCAAAATTCTTCACTTGTTCAGAGTGTGCCAAATATATCGTTTCGAAAAAATACAGAAGTTAGGAAGTTTCCGACCTTAATTGAAAGATTTCATTCTCCAATCGACCCCATAATTTTGATATAGAGATTTTCACAAAATACTTATTCCTCAAAATCAGTAATTCTCATGATACTGTGCTTTATTTTCCATGAAAGATACACATATCTGAAAAAGAATAACTCATAGCTCCATATATCTCTGCATCTTATAAGCAGTCGGTCGGTAGCCAAGCGGTTCGGCGTGGGTGCTTTGTTCACTCACTCGAATTGACTGCCGTGTTGATCGGTGGTTCAAGCCCTAGTCTGAACGATCGATCTTCACTTGCTACCGTCCAACCCGTGTTAGGAATCACACGTTAAAAGGTAAGACCTCGTTAATCCTTAGCTCGCACAAGTTTCGACTTCTGAGGGTTGTCGTTCGTAGGGGTGCGACAGCTGGTTAACGGAAAAAACAGATTTTAAACAGATTTTTTTCAAACAGATCTTATAAGCATCATATAAGCTTGAGCCGAGCAAGTTTCAAAAAATCCAGAAAAAAAATCATCCACCGGTCACAAGTTTTTTTCAAATATTTCATTGAAAACGTATTCGATTTTTATTCATACTGAGTTCTCTGACTATAGATCACCATGTAATATTGACAGCAATAACTAATTCCTCGAAGAAATGGAATGAATATCTTTTTTGTTGGAATTCAAAAAGCAAGCCAAATTATTAGTTGGGCCGAAAAGTTCGTGGGCTAAACCACAGATGGCGCTACTAGTATAAAATCCATATGATATTTAGTCAACTCTACCCTGCAAAAGACACGTGTACAAACTTCACAGCTGTCGGACTATTAGTTTTGGGATAGAACATTTCGAATGAAGCAACTTTTGTAAGTTTGAAGAAAACGTATAAAAAGAAATTTCGTGTGTTAATAAAGCACTGCTTTTTGGCAAAAGAAATACTGTCGAAGCCAAGGCTTGGCTTGATAAACATTATTAGGACTCTGAACTAGGAGAATCAACCATTGAGAAGTGGTTTGCTGAGTTTAATCGAAGTAAAATGAGCTCGCAGTGGACGCTCCAAAAAGGCTGTTACCGACGACGAAAGCATCAAAACAGTCCTCAAAATAATTTTGGATGACCGCAAAAAGAAGTTGATGGAGATAGCTGTGGCTCTAAACATATCAAAGGAACGTATACGACATAAATATTTGGGTATGTGAAAGCTCTGTTCAAAGTTCGAAGCTGTTACACCACAAAAACTTGAATTTATGCGTCATTATGTGATATCATTTTAAAGCTTGCAAAGACGCAATAATTGACTGGCAAACTTATGGTATCAGTATTTTGAGATGCGCATGGTATAATATTCATCGACTATCTCGAAAAGGGAAAAACCATTAACATCGACTATTACATAGCGTTATTGTAGCGTTTGAAGGACGAAATCTCAGATAAACGGCTTCACTTGAAGATAAAGAAAGTACTGTTTCGTCAAGACAATGCAACGTATTCACAAATCAATGAAAATGATGGCAAAATTGCATGAATTGGGCTTCGAATTGCTACCACATCCACCGTATTCTCGAGAGCTGGCCCCCATTGACTTTTTTCTCTTTTGAGACCCCAAGAGAATGCTCGTTGGAAAAAAATCAGTTCTAATGAAGAGGTATCCATGCAAATCGAGATGTATTTTGAGGCTAAAGACAACTCGTACTATAAAAATGGTATCGAAAAAAAAATTGCATGACCTCTATAATCATTGTTTCAACTATATTGAAAGATGAAATCAACTTTCATCAATTTTTTCCTATATGGTAACCTTCGAATTTTTCAGCCAAACTGTTATATACATTGCCTTGAACTGAAGAGTCTTCGACTTGCACATGATAACTCCCATTCGTAAGATAGAACTCAGTGTGTGCTAAATACTTAGTGGAGTACTTCCAGTATTTTTTTAATAAAGAGTATCGAAAGTTTTGTAGCTTCGACTTCATCTATTGCGTCGTATATTTCATTAAATACTTCCATCATAACATACTGTGTGGACTTGGTCTTACAAAACCTATATTGCATATCACAAAATATTTCACGAGTATTTCTGAAGGAAATTTCCATTTAATCTTGAATTATTATTTCGAATACCTGTACGATATAACTGATTAGTAATTTGGATAGATACTTCATAACTTGCTTCTTGTAAAATAATGATACTACAGTGATTTGCAGTATTGATTATGGAAGTGAGAAGTGATTTTTCAGAATTATTGATGAATTTTAGAAATAATTCCGTGTATACCAGTACGTCAGTTTTTGAATTCAACATCATTTCATGTCAAAACCGCATTTCATTGTCTAGTGGTCTAACATATTAACGTAATAAATGATTGGATAGACCCAAATTGGACATTATGTACCGAACTCATATCTACTCTACGTCGAGTCATTTAGACACTTGACACAATGTCACCTGATCATTTTACATTACTTTGAACTTAGTTGAAGTATATATCAGGTACAAACCTGAATTAAATAAAAAGATATCATTCAGTGTGGAAATTATTCACTTACCGGAAAATTTGCACCATCGTCACCTGTATTACTTGCATATATATCCCTGAGTACGTCGAGAGCAGCATCGGCTTCTCCACACTCCAGGAGAAACTTTGGACTTTCAGGAAAGAAAAATAACCATAGTCCTATCATTAGGCTTGGTACAGAACAAGCAGCTACAAACAAGTTCCAACTTGCAAATTTGAAATTGTCCGTTATATATTCAAATTCCATAGGAATTATAATCCACGCGATGCCTAAATAAAAAGAAGTCAGTTGAATATATATGTATGATTGATGACTTGTTTATTTTATGGTAATTCATGATCACTTCAATGAAATGAATAAAAACACTTTTGTCTAATTACCACTNTGAGGCTGCTATGGATGGTGTTCCCAGATCTGAAACAGGTCCTGATGTTATACTTGGACCCAATCGTTCTTATCCTTTCCGATAATCCTCTGATGTAGGGAAGTACAAGTACTGGTTGTGGCGGCTTCTCTTCGTTGTGAAGTTCTTGCTGTCTTCTAGCTAAAGCCTGTTCTACAATCACTCTAGAGTAACCATTTCGTTGAAGGTCATTTTTGATGATGTCTAGTTCCTTTTCGAGACTTTCCTTTGTATTACAGAGCTCGAAAGCACGGTCTAGTAGAGTCTTGATGATTCCTCTCTCAGTCGATAGATGGTGGTTGGATTTCTGGTTCAGATTCTGTCCTGTGCGAGTGGGTTTTCGATATACAGATGTTTCCCATTTAGTGTCGGTCCTCTTCACCAATACGTCTAAGAACGGCAATTCGTTGTAGACTTCCTTCTCCATTGTGAAAGTGTTGGAAGGACTCACGTTGTTGATGTGCTTCAGGAAAGTGTCTAGTTCTGCATTCCTATGATTTTATAATATGAGGTGTCGTCTACGTATCTCAACCACACTCAAGGCTTCTCGTGGGCTTCTTCAATGGCCAGAGTTTCAAACCACACCATATATATATATTGGCTATAACCGGTGAAAGTGGCGATCCCATTGGCAGTCCCCCATCTTTTGGTAGTTGCTTGTATATTATTTTATGAATTGATTTTAAATCAGGGATTTCAAATCAATTTATATTATATCAGACGATGGAAGTCCGAACTGATGAGATACACCACGAAACATCGTCAACCACCTTCAAACAAACGTTGGATACCCGGTACGGATCCGAAACCAGCGACTTATTCCGAGGATATGAGAGGACTATGGTCAAGCTTACCAAAGAAGAAACTCACCTCAGCTTCTTGTGCAGAGCTGAAGACAACAACATCATACTCAAAGGTTTTCTGCTGAAATCGCCAATCCCAGGAGAGAGAGTCAATGGCATATTGGAACGCGCCAGCCGAGCACTGAAAAAGTCTCAAATTGATTACCACCGTTGGAAGAGGTCAACTATGATGCAGGATGCCACAGAACGGTTTGAAGAAATAAGAAGAGACCTTGGAAGAGGATCATGGACCAATCTTTGCCAAGATTGAAAGCACGTGCTTGAAGATCCGACAAGACATGGAAAATATCCACAGGAAGTGGGAAAAGTTGGTGAGGGAACAATGCCCAAATGCTAAACGAGAACAGGGCAACTATGAATCCACCAACGTCGTCAACATGAGTTTCCGCCCGCTCATGGATGTAGAGGAATCTTTGTTGAGGAAAGGTCTAAACTTCACCATTGCACCAACATCTGTGCCCATTTTGGAAATGATAACTGCAGTAGAATCCACCAGTACCCTTATGTATCAGATCGAGGCAGAAGAATTCAGATGGAAAATCAGAGAACAGCTAGATCGAGAACCAGTTCCAACTTCTAACGTCACCAATGAAGAACAGAGAGCCCTGAACGGGCTACGTAGAGACAACACCATCGAGATCTTACCTGCAGATA